TTTTTGTAAAGGTTTTTGTTAAGCTTTCAGACCCAACACTTGTAATATGAAATAACTTAAAATGTTGCTTAAGATTTGTGGGGGGGAGTTCTTTTGTCTCAAGAAAATAATTAGTCTTCCCTAGATGGCCAGATTTCCCCACTAACAACTTTGTAAAAATAGTATATAAATAAGACAGAGGGCAGAAAAATACAGGCATACCCCCCACATGACCAAGCATATTTATCTTGCACAGGTTGCTTTGTTTGGGGTTTTTTTGGCCTTCTTATAACTAACTGCAAAATATTCAAACTTTGCATCAGGTTTACACTTTCCTTTTTTTTTTTTTTTCCTCTGACCAAAACAGGGGGAAGAAATGGAGATGATGACTGAGAAACAGAGAGATACTAGGTATTTCTGGAATAATACTCCTCAAAAAAGTGATTATGAGGCTGTAGAAGCCCTTATTTCTATGAGTTGCAACTGGAAATCAGACTTCAAAAAACATGCAGATATGAGACCTATAACTCCAGCATCTGATATGTCAGAAGAGAGTGACGAGACTTTGCTTCCTGGAGCGGCGGATTTTAATGCGATACCAGCATTTGTAAGTTTTTGAATTTGTATGTATGCGTGCTTGGTTTTAATAATTTGTGTGGTGACACGCTCCCCCTTACTGTGTCTCTCTCTCCACACAGTGCCTGACCCCCCCCTACAGCCCTTCTGACTTGGAGATGTCGCAGGTGGTCCATCCGGGGGCATCTGTGCCCGCTGCAGCGCTGGGCAAGTCCCTGGCTGAGGCTGCCAAGCCTCTGGCCACACCTCGGAGAGAGGCGGAGAGGCCTCCAGCAGCCGGGCCTCTGAAGGCTCAAGTGACAAGTGTTATCCGCCACACGGCTGATGCCCAGCTTTGTAATCGCAAAACCTGCCCGGTGAGAACAGCCAGCGTGCTGCAATACCAGGACACTGTTTTGAGGGAAACAAACAGTAAACAGAACGCTGAAGCAGAACAGTCAATGTGTTCAGCTGCGGTGTCAAGCAGAGCCAGCAATGAGAGCAGCGAACTGCTGGTGGCAGAAGGAAAAACCACAGAACCAGCTGTTGGTCCAGTGCCCTTGGCAAAGGGCTCAGCCAGCAGACGTCAGCCTGTCCCTGGGTCAGCGCAGCAGTCAGCGGCGGTGGCACCACCGTGCCCTGCCCAAGGCGGTGGAGCCCCCCCTGTGCCAGTGATTTGCCAGATGGTCCCGCTGCCCGCAAACAACAACGTTGTGACGGCTGTAGTGCCCAACACCGCGCCAAGCCAGCAGCCAGCTCTCTGCCAGCCCATGGTCTTCATGGGCACCCAAGTTCCCAAAGGTGCAGTTATGTTTGTTGTTCCCCAGCCGGTCGTGCAGAGCACAAAGGCTCCCATTATTAGTCCCAATGGCACGAGACTCTCTCCCATTGCCCCTGCTCCTGGCTTTGTACCTTCTACAGCAAAAACCTCTCCTCCGGTTGATTCTTCAAGAATAAGAAGTCACATTTGCAGCTACCCAGGATGTGGGAAAACGTACTTCAAGAGCTCCCATTTGAAGGCTCATGTCAGAACACACACAGGTTGGTCACTGTTGCTGGATGTTAAAAATTAATGTAAACCATGGCTGTATGGACAACTGGTTAAGGTTCTAGCTGTTACCAGATTTGTTCATGGAACAAATTGTGGGGCAGCAGTGAAATACTTTTTTTGCCAGTGTGCACTATAATGCTGCCTAATCTCTGACAGGAAATCTCCCGGAGGGGAAGTTGACTCAGCAGTTTGTTTGTGCTGGACTTGCTTCATGTCAGAAGGTGTTCCGTAATGCATCTGGCGAGTGTGGAAGCCAGGCCCTGCCCAATGTACAGTATGCTTTTCCAGAGTTAAAGGCGCCTCATTAGGCTTCTCACCGAGAATGCCTTTGTCAGAAGTCAGGAAAACTTAGAGATTCTTTTATGAAAGAATTTAAGGTTTCATTCCAAACTATTCCTGCCTTTGTTATTTTAGAGTAACTTCTCCACACCTCAGCTCTTAATTGCAGTAGCAGAAAGAGTCACGTGTATTTTCCTGTGGGCTCACAGTGCACTGCCAGAGCTCTGTTGTGCAAAATGTTAGTACAGGTTGTGTTGCGGGGGGTAGTTCTGGGCACGCTGAGTCGTCGTAAGCTGCAGTTCATGTGGAGCTGAGAGTTAACATCAGCTGTCTTGGGACTTAAAAAGCGTCTCAAACTATTTGGTTCCAGAGAATTGTTAACCCTTTGTACTGCTTAGCCTTGATGATAGTGAGTCTGCATGTTTAAATATTGGTATATAAACAATTTTTCACATTTGATATCTATAAAAATTATGTAGATTTTTGCCTCCACTGTCATAATAGAAACTTTTCTTTTAAAAAGTCAAATCCTGCCAGTCAAGGCAGTAGTGTTGCTTAGTTAGTACTCATGGGTTTTTTTTCTTTGTCATTTTTTTTTCTTTTAGGAGAAAAGCCATTTAGTTGTAGTTGGAAAGGCTGTGAGAGAAGGTTTGCACGGTCTGATGAACTGTCTCGCCATCGCAGAACGCATACTGGGGAGAAGAAGTTTGCCTGCCCGATGTGCGAGCGGCGGTTCATGCGGAGCGACCACTTAACGAAGCACGCGCGTCGCCACTTATCGGCTAAGAAGTTACCAAACTGGCAAATGGAAGTGAGCAAGTTAAACGATATTTCTGTGCCGCCAACATCTGCGACTGCGCAGTGAAATGACTTAATCTGAAGACGGTGGAATTAACTGTTGTCGCTGGGATACGCCAGATAAAAAAGGCTTTTGGTCCCAGTCTGTGATTCTCCTGCACCAGCTGCTGATGGCAGCGCAGCAGAGAGGCAAAGGCAGCCTGTGCTCGGTCACAAAAAATGTTGCTGGGAGAACCTGTGGCTGGCTGGAATAGCAGGTGTCTTTTGCACTGGTAAAGAGAGAGAGAAAGGGAAGGCTCTAGAGCAGAGCAGCACACGTCGTGCAAGTTTTGAATTTTGCAAATTGTTCATATATACTCTAGATCAGTCACGTGTCAGTGTTACTGAAGGTTTGCTGCTGATGCTCAAGACCAACTCCGATTTTAACTTTCAGTTGTCAGTCTTCAGTACAGCACAGACTAGGAAGACAGCGATGTACAGGCGCAGGCTTGAAAGCCCAGAACGCAACTGCGTAAGATAATCTAAATCAGTTTTCCTCCTTCTGCCACCTTTGCTTGGTAGGAATTGTAGGAATTTTTTTCCTCCTATCCATTCTCTGGCCCCATCATAAGCAACTATTTGGTGCCAGACTCCTGCAAGTTTTACACCTCTCCTCCCACATGGGATATTTAACACACCCAGCTTTGTACAGCTGTCTGGGAGGGCTTGGGATGGGCGTTGAGGGGCACCACGGGGGCAGCTGGAGGGTGAGAACGTTCCTGAATCCTCATTAGCTTTGTAATGTTTTCCCAGCTGCTTTGGCAAGCTTTGTGATTATTACAATTGGTTGTACCTGGGCATCGTAGGATGCTTCTGCTTTTGTGTTGCTTACGGTTTCCTTTATACCTTCTCACAATTCTGGACCGCTGCGTTTTCCATAAATGCATACAGAGCACTTTTAAGAGAAACATTGTAAACTACTCGGGTTGATTAAGGAAGAAAACCAAGAATCTTAGGCTTCTTGATCATGTTATTCTTTGAAAGACAGTTTATACTAAAAATGAAATGGATATATTATGTATTGTATTAAATTAGGAAGTTGTGATTTGAAAAGTAAAAGGAGGCAGTAAAGACACCGGCCTAGAATTTAAACTGTAGCTTTTGTGACAAATGCATCAACTTTCACTATTTCTATTTTATCATGTTATGTTGAGGACACATATCAGAAAGTAAACAGTTTGAAAATAGTGTTTTAGATATGCTTTTTGTGACTACTTCAAAGATTTGCACATTTCTTATGTTGTACTTTATACTTTGTTTACAATAAAATGAACTTTCTTTAATATAGACGTCTCTCTTTTTTTAATTCATAGCAGAACGTATCCCTTTGCAAGGAAAATAACCTCAAAACAAAGTACGGTGTCCATTAATATGTGTCCTGATCAATGAAACACTATCTCTTATTTTTTTAAGCTCTATAAAGCCCACAGCAGTGGAATTTTGAGTTTGTGCTTACTACTCTTGAGTCTCTCTTTTGTTGTGTGTTTTTGTTTTTTTTCCTCCCCGCTCTCCATCCCCTTTTCTCAAGCATCCAAAGATAAATGTACTTCTGCGGGCCATTCCCGGGGGGGATTCGGGTCCCCCTGGGGCCAGCCAGAACCAGCGCTGGTGCAGAGATGGGCGCTGCTGTCACCGTTCCCCCAGCAGGTATCTGCCTGCCCCCTTGGGCTCCCTCCTTAGAGCTGTCTCCTGCAGGGAAGGGGGGGTTTTACCTTCGGGGGGCAGGGCAGTGGGGTCTCTGCCTCCTGCTGCCGCTGCCCATGCGCAGGGGGGGCCGCTCAGCCCCCCCCCCCGCGGTGCCCTGCTGCAGGGATCCCCCCGGTTCCCAGCTGCCTGGTTGCTGAGTCACTGTCCCCTGCCCTGCGGGTGCTTGGGGCAGGGACACTCCTTACCCTATCCTGTGTGACGCAGTGCCCTGCCGAGGAAAAACCTGAGTCATTGCCTTTTCTTCTTGTTCCAGGGGGAACATGCCATCATAGCCCACAGAAAAAGAGACGCTTCCCAGGAGTGCGAGTCCTGCTCCACCATCTTGCTTCAAGGTGTTTGACATTACGATAAAATATCTTAACAGCTCTGGCTCTGAAACCCTTCCACGTCTGTGACTAGCCGTTGGGCTAGGAAGCCGGGTTCCCTTGCCAGCTCTGCCTGGCACACTGAACCCCAAATCCAGGTTTGTGCCATGGCCCCACATAAGGAGGGCATGAAGAAAGTGCCACCCCCACTGTTAGGGGCTTTGAACCCCCTCTCGCTCAGCAGGGAGCTGAACATCAACCCAGCTTCAGGCGAGTGCTCTCACACTGTGCAACAGAAGGGGAAGAAGGGAGTTTCTGCATCGTGGCCATCTCTGCCACCTGTGTTTTCTGAAGCAAAAGCAGCTGCTGGTGGTTTTTGTGTGGCACCCAGCTCTGGAGGTGTGCATGGGGCATGTCCCCAGGGCACCCGCTGGTGGCATCGCTGCGGGGGGGGCTGCAGAGGAAAGCCTCTTTCTGGCATTGCAGTGAGCTACATAAAATACAGTTTCTCGCTCTCGATGCAGAATTTAACAGTAAGAAGTGCACTTCTGACCAGTTCCAGACAAAGGCAGAGCTGTAATTGGGAATTTACCTCACATACTGGTTTTTAAAGCTTAACCATGGAAACCAACTGGAAATTAAACCAACCGCTGGGGGGTTTAATTCAAGTCTCATCTGAAAAATGTAGTTGACATTATTAGCCACCTTTTCAATGCTGACTTTACTGTGCAATCCAATTGTATTGCATAGTAGGAAACGTACATTTTATTAATTTTCTCCAGATTTCTGTGAATAATTAGGGTTTCCTTACCAAAACCATACCTGGTATTTTGTCCTCCTGCTTGGGTTTAATGATGAAGCCAAACAGAAATGCAAACCCAAATGCTCTCAGCAAACCCCCCTAGTGATTAACACTTGTTGGTTAACACCTGGATGCCAACACTGGCGGCTGCTGGCGGCGGGGGGGGCTGCCGGGGGGGCCGCTGCTGTGCAAACACCCGGCTCCGGGGAGCCGAGCTGAAGGGACCCAGGAGATCAGCGTGTATTCTTGGAAGCAGATTTGGGAAGTCTCTACAAACCTTCCACCTTGCTGCTGAGCCCTGATCTCTGAAGGGATGCGCACACACGAAAATGGATGCCACAGTGGTGACATCGGTCACCGGTGAGACCGGGGTCTCACAACAGGTTGTCTTGGGAAGGGAGGGAGCGAGCCCCCATCTGCAAAGTGAAGTGACGTAAACTCCTTGCTGTGGGGCACTGGGGGAGGTGGGGGACCATTCTGGGGGGCAGAGTGGCTGCCTGCCCTGGGGGTATCGCAGCAGCTGGCTCCTGGCTCAGGAGGACGTGCTGCGGGGCTCGGGGTCTGGTTATCCCACCCCCTGCCTAAACCAGCAGGGCTAAGCGATGGGACTCGGCGGTGCGGGAGCACCCGGCACGTGAACCCAGTGTGCCTTTGCCAGTAACGGGGGGGAAGGCTGGAAAAATCAAACATTTTCCCTTGTGGTTTGGAGAAGAATAATTTCCATTACAGCAGGAGTATTTGTGGGAGGCTTAGATGCTCTGTGAGTGAACTAATATGTATTTTAAAAGGAGTCCTGAGCTGGAGCAGCTTGTCTGGAGACAAGAACCAGGCCAGCCTGCCTCCCCATCCCGCCTGGAGAGCTTGGCTTTCCGAGGTTTCTCCTCCCGAGCTTTGCCATCCAGCGGTGCTATTTCAAGACCCCCTTCACCAGGCAGCGCTGCGGTCCTGGCAGGGGTACAGCCTCGGTGCCAGGGTGGGTGCTGCGGTGCGGACGAGGCACTGCCCCAGGGCCGAGGGGAAGGGATTTGGCATCAGGAGACCTGCACACCCTCTGCAGAGGCACCAGGTATTCCCCTGGCAGCTCCCTATTTTTACTGTAAATAGATGATTCATTTGTCTGCTTTGGCAACAAACTCAGATCACCAAGGAAACACTTGCAAGCTGTCAGAAAAGTTAGAGCACAAAATCAGGTCAAGAGAAATGATGAATGAATGAATATGTGCGTTACGGGCTGGAGAATTATCTGCTCTGTGCCACAGACTTACCGTGGTGGGGGGGCAGATAGTGTTCAGCCAGAACAAATGTTTTTGGAATATGTCTTCTGATGTCATTGTATGTGTCACACGGAGCTTCCATGTCTTTTCTAGGGATATGGGGATCTGGAACACTTTCTGTTGGCACCAAAAGGAAATGCGATGCTTTAGCCATAAGAAAACAACAGCAAAACACAGCTTTAACCATCTCGTTATATCCACAAGAAGATGGAGGCTAAACTTGCTAACGCACTTGCTGTGTTGTGATATAAATCAGGTAATAATAATAATAATACAAATGCATTTAATAATTTGGAAGCTTTGTTAGGGTACCACCTTTTTGATGAAGCTTTATACTTGCTTGTGTATTCTACCCTGAAAGTCAAGTTAATTGTCCAGTGAAAAAAATGCTGCTGTCACTGCTAGTTCAACTACTTGGAAGGTTTCAGTGGATGCCAAGGTGCTTGCATGGCAACAACTTCCCAAACAAACCCATGCAGCAGCCGTGGGGAATGCCCACGCGCTACCAGCTGCGGCGAGGCTCGAGCACACCCTGCCTTGGCTAAATATCCCCCAGGGCCTCTGCAAAACTTCCATGGCTTTGAATATCTGAGGCAGACAGCGTCTCCTCTCTGCCCAGCTCGTCTCCTGACGTTAATAAAACCCCCATCGTGCAAACAACAAAGCAGCTCCCCTGACCACCCACCAGCCGTGATGCAGCGTCGCCAGTTGTTGCAAATCAGAGAAGCTGCCACTAAATAAAAAGGCATTTAGAAGCCGCAGCATCGCAAGAGAACAGCGCAGCCATCTTCAGACGAGCTATGCAATCAGCTTAATGAGGACATCGTTCTGGATCGGCTGCAATCAGTATTCATCGGGTGATCCTGGCTAAGGGGGAGGGGGTGCGAAGGCAGAAGCAAGGGCCAGGTCCGCCAAAGGCACTGCCCCGTTTGCAGCTGCA